CGTGTCCAGGCCACACAGGTGGGTATCTAACATGGTGGTCCTGCGCTGGAGCCACGTGTTTTCACGTGTACAGGCCACCCAGGTGGGTATCTAACATGTTGGTCCCGAGCTGGAACCACGTGTTTTCACTTGTCCAGGCCACCCAGGGGGTGTCTAAGATGGTGGTTCCGCGCTGGAACCGCATGTTTTCACGTGCCCAGGTCGCCCAGAGGGTGTATCTAACATGGTGGCCCCGCGCTGGAACCGCATGTTTTCATGTGTCCACGCCACCCAGGGGGGTATCTAACATTGTGGTCCTGCGCTTGAGCCGTGTGTTTTCACGTGTCCAGGCCACCCGGGGGTATCTAACATGGTGGTCCCGAGCTGGAGCCATGTGTTTTAACGTGTCCAGGCCACCCAGGGGGTATCTAACATGGTAGTCTCTCGCTGGAGCCACGTGTTTTCATGTGTGCAGGCCACCCAGGTGGGTATCTAACATGGTGGTCCCGAGCTGGAGCCACGTGTTTTTGCATGTCCACGCCACCCAGGTGGGTATCTAACATTGGGGTCCTTCGCTGGAACCGTGTGTTTTCACTTGTCCAGGCCACCCAGGGGGGATCTAACATGGTGGTCCCAAGCTGGAACCATGTGTTTTCACGTGTCCAGGCTACTCGGGGGTATCTAACATGGGCCTCCTGGATCCTTCCTGGGACTCGGAACGGGACGTCGAGAGTTTATTGGTATTTGGTTTCGATTCGTTGATTTTTTGGCCTCCAGGCGCCGTTCCTGGGCCCTCCTGCGCCCCAGACGACCGCATGTTAGATATCACCCCTGGGTGGGCTGGACCACGTGTTTTTACGTGTGCAGGCCGCCCAGAGGGGGTATCTAACATGGTGGTCCCGAGCTGGAACCATTTGTTTAAACATGCCCAGGCCATCCAGGGGGATATCTAACATGGCTGTCCCGACCTTGAACCAGGCCACCCAGGGGGGTATCTAACATGGCTGTCCCGACCTTGAACCAGGCCACCCAGGGGGGTATCTAATATGATTGTTCTGAGCAAGGGCCACGTGTTTTAACGTGTCCAGGCTACCCAGGGGTGTATCTAACATGGTTTCCCGAGCTGGCACCAGGTGTTTTTAGGTGTCCAGGC